AAAGGAGCGATCGGGGCCGGGCGCGATCGGGCAGGAGCAGAGCCGGGCGCGGGGGGTACCGGGCCGAGGGGGGGGCCACGGTCCGGGCTGCCCCGGCCCCAGCCGGCCCGAACGCGGGTGATTTTGGGGGCCAAAAGCGCTTTTTTTCGCCCGGTTTTGGTGGTGCCGCCGCCGCTTTGCTTTTCTGCAGGTTTTTCGGGGGGGGAAAGGGGGGCTTTTTGGAGACCGGCCGGTGTCAGCGCCCGGCGGAGCCCCCCCCGCTCCCCCAAAATGCCACCGCTGAGATTGTGACCCCCCTCCATACCCCTTGCTGCAAAATCGCGGGGTGCTTCTGCCCCCTCCCCTGGGGCGGCCTTCTCGGAAAGGACTTTGCAATGCTGCGGCTCCCCAGGGGAGTGTCCCCCGCCCCGGGGAGGGGGGGCACCGCCCTCCCGCATCCCCCTCCCCACCACCACCCGAAGAATGTCATGTCGGTGAGGGGCTCCGTGGAGCGAGGGGTTTCCAGCCTGGGTAGCCCCCCGTTACCCACCGGCAGTTTCACCCAGGTCTACACGCCGGCGGCTGTCAGCGTCCCCGCTCCCCGGGGGGGGTGTCTCTACGCCACCCCCCAGGGCCCCCAGCTCAGGACCCTCCGCTCGGCCTCAGTGGGACGGCTGCCGGTAAGGTGTCTGCACCCCATCCCTTCCTTGGGCATCGCTTCGGTGGGACGGGGGGCTGGGGGCTCTGTGCAGGGCAGGGAGCAAGAGGTGGGTGACCCCAGGATGGACAGCACCCTCCCCTTCCAAATTTTGCAGCTTATATTGGGGTCTGCACCCCCCTAAGATCTCTTTGGGGTGGGGGAGGGTAAGGGTTGAAATCAGAAGTCGCAGTGAAATGGCTCAAACGTTTCTCAACTTCCCTTCGCCCCTGCGTGCCCGCAAAGCTGGCTCCTGGCTTCCGCTTTTCAGCCTTTTTCAGCCTTTTTTTTGCCTTTCTCCGGCTTGCAAACAGTTCAGGTCATGTCTCAAAGCCCGGCCGTGGCACTTGAGGCCCTTCGCAAACCTCCTCCCATGTTAAGGTTGGGTGCAGGCAGCCCTCCTGCCTGCCGTGGGTGGGGGGCACCCTCCCTGCCTGCTGGGTCTCCCCACTTTGGGCTGTGACCCCTGGGGTGACCCATCACCTGGGGAGGTTTGGGGACGCAGGGCAGGGGTGGCTCAGCACCGCTGCCCAAGCTTGGTTCCTGCCCGCAGTTACAGCAGGGCTTGCAATGCCTTTTTTTTTGGGGGGGGGGTGTGAATTTGAAACAGTCCCCATCCTCCATGGGACACCCCAAGGCTTTGGAGCAGGGACCCTGATGCTGGGCGCCGTGCAGGTTGGCAGAGGGAGGGGATTGCTGGCACTGGCTGGGTCCCTGTCACCGAACCCCGGGGTCAGGGCTGCCCGGCACCCGCTGCCCTAACCAGGGAAACTGAGGCCCAGGTCGGGCGCTGGCCCCGTGCCCAGCATCGGGGTGTGCGGGTGGCTCTGCCCAGCCCGTCTCTCCTCCTTGAGGGCCCCTGCCGAGCCCCCGGCCGGTCGGCCCCGCTGGCAGCTGGCATTTAATTCCTGCCTGCCCCAGCCTGGGCGCGTGTCCAGCCCTCACTGTGAGCCTCTGTTCTCCCTGGGTCCTGGGAGGGATCCCAGACCCCACTAACTTCGATATAGTTTTTTCAAGGCTTGATTTATTTATTTATTCCCCTCCTTTCCACGGTCCCTGATGCTTCGTCCCAGCTGGGGACGTTGCTGCGGCTGGGTGAAAGGAGTTGTCGTTGCTCCCCGCTTCGTGTCACGGCTGCGGGGCGGGCTGGGGCTGTTGCGAGCCCTGTCCCAGGGGGGCTCCGGGGCCACCTGCCTCCTCCCCAGCCTCTTTGTCTCTGAACCGCATGAGATGCTGCATCCTGCGCTGCCAGGCACTGTTCTTTAAGGAGAGACCTGTGCCACCACCCCCTCCCCTAAAGACACCCCACAGACTCACAGTCCCATTTTCATGCCTTGCTGCGGAGCTGGTTTTGGGCGGATGGCTTCTTTGGCATCATCACCGTCATCATCATCATCACCCACACCAGCAGGTGCTCAGGGTGCTCCTCCTGCCTGCAGCTGTCCCCTGAACGGGGTCTGGGGGGGGCTTGTGTGACACCTGGGCACATGAAGTGCTTGTCCCCAAGTGACACTTGGGGAGAAAGAAGTTTTGGGCTAAAGGCCTCTTGGTCATCACCACCCTCATCATCATCACCTGTGCCAGGAGGTGCTCAGGGTATTCCTGCCTGTAACTGTCCTCTGAATGGGGTCTGGGGGGGGCTCATGTGACACTTGGGGACATGAAGTGCTCCTGCATCCCCTTTGGTGGGTTGCAAGCAACGCTCCCTTCCGTCCTCATCCCATTCCCTGATGCCGTGATCCCATTCCTGGTGCTGGAGATCCCATTTCCAACCCCGGTGTGACACTCGCAGCACTGGCAGCTGGGGCTCCCCCCGCCCCACACCCCGTTTATGGGCACAACCTTTGTGTGCAGATCCGAGGCAATCAGATAATGAGCGTTTCCTCCCAATTCCCGAGCAGGGCAATTGCTGCCACTCCCACCTGCTTGCTGGATTTGTATAAATGATCTGGGGTCACCTGGTCCAGCTGGAGGGAGCCCATCACCCCGCGTCCGGCTGCGGGAAAGCGGGATGGGTTGTCTCTCATGGTCCAAAAAAAGTCTCAGATTTCCCTTAGTCTGATTTGAGGGTCTTGGAGTAGGTAAGTGTGTTTTTCCCCATGAAAAATGCATATTTCAGAGTGGTTTTAGCCAGTGCCAATCCCATCCTGAGTATTTGCCCTGCTCCTGGCCATATGGGGCCTCTATAGGGGCCATGGGATCTCTATAGGGGCTCAGGGCTTTAAAGGAGCCCCGGAGAGACCGATGTCTCCCTGCCTCCTCCGTGTCAGGACAAGGGCGTTCAGAGTCCACCACAGTTTCGGTGCAAGCTGGCAGGGCTGAGCCACCCACGCAAAGAGCACCCAGGGTGGCAGTCCCTGTGGGTGCTGGGCTGGAGCCCTTCCCAAGTGGGAGAACCGCTCAGCAGCACCCCGGATTCTTCTGGGGCGACCCAGGGTGACCCTGTTCCCCCTTGATTCCATCAAGGGTTTTTTC